AATAATATTATTAACAAAAAAACTAATTTTAAATTCTAATTATATTTTTTGGTGCTATTGCACACGACGCACATTTCCAGAGGATGAATTTGGTGGAGTTTATGGTGGCAAGTCTCGCAGAACATTCGCTGAATCTCCCACCAAGTTGTCGTCTGATGTACTGACGTCATCTGATATTCACCTCTATCAACGCGGTTTCTATACAGCGCGAAACAATCATGGCAAACGTTCTTAGGGCCCTGTAGTGTATCTAAAGTTACCATTGATACGGTACTACAGAAATTATCGTTTCCATCAAGATCGCCCATTTGCCTTACATCAAAAGGCTTGCTTCTAAAGCTCATACGACGGTCGATGTCTTCTTCTCCCCCAAACCCCTCGTCTGACTCTTCTATTTCCTGGAATATTGAAAGAATTCATGATTATTTCTTTATAGAGAAAATCATATATACAGTTAAATACGTGGTCTTACTGATTTTACAGCATAGTGAATTCTAGAAGGGATAGGTACTTACATCATTTCTTTGCCTGTTATTGACATCAATTATAGCAAGTCTGCGTAACCTGTCGGCGATTTTTGACATCTCGGTATCAAATCTTGCAGCCATTTCAATAGAAGGTATATATATATATGTGATGTTTCTTATATGTATAGTGATTTTCAACTGAAGTTTAAAGAGGACGATTGCTCTTCTTATTCAGAATTTCGAGGGTGGGGCATCACACATTGACCAATACCGAACAAGAAAACTCCCACCTAGATGTAACTTTCTCCAAAAAAAAAAGAGCGACGAGTGGGGGTCAGGAGGGTATTGAAAAGAGGAAAGGATGTGTAAATCTTCACAGTTTTCCTCGACGTTTCACTATAAGTGCATTAGAGCGATCACGAAGAACAATTTCAACACTTATTACACCAATGACGTATCCAAAATCGTGGGACTCCAAGCCAATTGTAGCTGTTCGCCCATCTATTGTTGGAGATTACGTGATTTGCCACAATTGTGACGTCGGATATCCTGCCAACCGCATAAATCCATGTAATGGAGTATGTCAGCAATGTCTGGCACGAAACC